CATCGAATATAAAAAAAAAGTTTTAGATTAAACGTTGTCATCCCTATTTTATTGTTTAATAACAAAAATATCCTGTTTAAACAAACTTATTGTAATATTCAGGGGCGGGGGGGGGAAAGAGTGATCGTACGTTCGTTTCATTTAGAACATAGTCGTAGTTTAATTTCTAACGTATTACTCTGAAACAAACAATTCAATTGGTTTCAGTTATATTTTCTTTAGTAACAACCGTATAATACCAATTGCGTAAGCCATATAGTACCTACCGTACAGCAACCTTTTTAAGGCGTAATATTAAATTAATCGGGATTGTCTGGAGTGTTGAGAACTCATTTTTGGTCATCGAAACAAACTGAACGTTTCGTTCCAAAAGTTACGTCACTTTATGAACTCGAAAAAAGTTTGTAGGCGTAAAACTTCTGAAATTTAAAATCATTTCGCTTTTAAGTATTTGTTTGTTATTTTTATTTGATAAAATCTTCTTTTTTTACAGCGTTTTTTTCTGGAACAATAATACCAACGATGTTTACAAAGAAGGCGAGAGGCTGCGCAGACCCATCCTTGCCCGAACACTGCGCACCCTATCAAAGAACGTTACCATCACAACATTCTTTGGAGAGCTGGAAGAAACTCTTGCAGAAGAGATACAAAGTTTTGGTAGGATCATTATTTTGTTCTTTTTCTTTTTTTCCTGAAGTTTATATTTTAAAATTGGCCTACTCGATTTAGATGTAAGATTATAATATTGTCATGTAAAATAAATTCAAGTATTAATAATCTTTAAATTGGTAAACTGGGGGGGGGGGGAGGTAGTTAACGTGTCTGCAGGCACAACCATAGATTCTTGGTGGGGAGGTACTAACTTGTTTACAGGCACAGCCAGAGATCCCTGGGGGGTGATGTACTAACTTGTTTACAGGCACAGCCAGAGATCCCTGGGGGGTGATGTACTAACGTGTTTACAGGCATAATCATAGATCCCTGGGGGTACTAACTTGTTTATAGGCACAGTCATAGATCCCTGAGGGGTACTAACTTGCTTACAGGCACAGTCAGAGATCCCTTGGGGTGATTTACTAACGCGTTTACAGGCACAGCCATAGATGCCTGAGGGGGATGGTACTAACGCGTTTACAGGCACAGCCATAGGTCCCTGGAGGGGTGATGTACTGACGTGTTTACAGGCACAGCCATAGATCCCTGAGGGGTACTGACGTGTTTACAGGCACAGCCATAGATCCCTGGGGGGTACTAACTTGCTTACAGGCACAGTCAGAGATCCCTTGGGGTGATTTACTAACGCGTTTACAGGCACAGCCATAGATGCCTGAGGGGGAGGTACTAACGCGTTTACAGGCACAGCCATAGGTCCCTGGAGGGGTGATGTACTAACGTGTTTACAGGCACAGCCATAGATCCCTGATGTGTCATTTGGATTTTGTTTCATCTTCAAACACCATGCTTCAGGCTGATGGTGGAATAAGCGTGTTCTGAAACGTTCGAAATTTGTAAATAAGATTGTTTTTCGTCTCTTGAGACAAAATGCTGCTTTACGTATTTTCACTACGAAGTGACGTACCAGTACTCTTTTGATTCTATCTCTCTTAAAAGGACCAATTAAATGGCGAAGTAAAATGCTTGTACTCATTTGATTGGTCCCCCTTTCGAAGAATCATTTATATTGGCCAATAAGACACTTGTACTCTTTTTGGTTTGTCTCTAAGGGCCAATTAAATGTGCAGTTTTTTATTATAGTTGGATTACCTGAAACAGTGAGTCTACTTCATTTCATCCAGTTTTTTAACACATTTTTTAACCAATTAGCTGCATCATTACCAAAAGTTATTAGATTACCATATACCCAAATTTGGAGCGTGCTGTGGTATATTTCACTCACGACGTCATAACCACACGTTCGCTGTCTTTGCTAAATCAACCTACTATTTAGCACATACTCGTTACCAGGACATCAGGCTTCACCAATGGCCTATGGACCCTATAGTCCTTCTTTGCTTGATTAAGAAAATGCTCGAGCCGTGGCGCTGATGGATCAAATGGTTTGGTTTGGTTTTGAATTTCGCGCAAAGCTACACGAGGGATATCTGCGCTAGTCGCTCCTAATTTAGCAGTGAAGGACTAGGGGAATGGCAGCTAGTCATTACCACCTACCGCCAACTCTTGGGCTACTTTTACCAACGAATAGTGGGATTGACCGTCACATTATAACGCCTCCACGGCTGAAAGGGCGAGCATGTTTGGTGGGTCGGTGATGATGATAAACGTAAAGTAGTCAACCATTGTAGAATTTTATGGGGGGGGTAAATGTCATGCTTTTTTCAAATAATAATAACAAAAACGTCAAATGTGTCTACTCTGTTGTTGGCACCATTATTGCGCTGTTAAAATATTTACAGTAATTATATCAGTAGCCTAAAAGTTTTAATTGTAATCAGCTGATGCTGGATGGTTTCTCCCGGTTTCAAGAACGGATCTAATATGGCCTTTTGTGTTAGTAATACCTTGAGAGAAAGGTATATTTATTTATTTGCAGGTGGCATTATTACTGAACGGGATTTCCTTATGTACACCCCTCTCTGGAAGGAAGCTATTCAGTTCCGTCTCCATGAGAACCTGACTTTGTACGGTGTACCTCCACCAGGGAGCGGGGCTTTACTCGGCTTCATTCTGAATATACTGGATGAATACGGTTTTGACGAGACTAGTTTCTCCAGTGTAGAACAGAAAACGTTAAGCTATCATCGATTTGTGGAGGCCTGTAAGTATGCCTTTGCTGTACGAACGGAACTTGACGACCAGGAACAAAATTCTGATCCTTCTAAGTACGAGCAAAACAAAAAGGTACGTTAAGTTTAAAATCAAACATGATCTTGTATTCAAAGTATGACACATTGCAGTGTTGTCTGATGTATCTTTTAATTAATATCTCATCGAACTATTTCAGTGAACACAGTTCTTAGAGTGAGCAAGCATAGTTAGAACTCAATCTGTGTGAAGATGTTAGTGTTAATCAACTTCTGTGTGAAGACGTTAGTATTTAATCAACTTCTGTGTGAAGACGTTAGTATTTAATCAACTTCTGTGTGAAGACGTTAGTATTTAATCAACTTCTGTGTGAAGACGTTAGTATTTAATCAACTTCTGTGTGAAGACGTTAGTATTTAATCAACTTCTGTGTGAAGACGTTAGTATTTAATCAACTTCTGTGTAAAGACGTTAGTGTTAATCAGCTTCTGTGTAAAGACGTTAGTGTTAATCAGCTTCTGTGTGAATACGTTAGTGTTAATCAACTTCTGTGTGAAGACGTTAGTGTTAATCAACTTCTGTGTGAAGACGTTAGTGTTAATCAACTTCTGTGTGAAGACGTTAGTGTTAATCAACTTCTGTGTGAAGACGTTAGTGTT